TGGCTCCATTGATAAGACGCCTGCCTTCATCAGTCGTTATGAAGATCTTTCTCTAACCACAATTTCGGCAGAATTATTCTTACGCCCAGGAAACGGGGCACAGGAAGATCATGGACTAGATTTTTCCTCAAAGATGGCAAATACCTGACTATAATACCCTCCCACTCCGCATCCCCGAACCATCTCCGATCTTAGAGTGCTTCTCCGCTATTGTTCATTACTCCTGCGAGAATATGGATTTTTCAAAATATTTATTTGTTTATTCGCTGAATGAATTTACACTACTTCTCATTCGCTCAGCCAAAATTCTTTATATCCTATCGCTCATCAGAGGTGGATTTCAAATTCTTGGAGAACGAGGTTATAAAGGACCGGCTGAAAGTTCAGAGATATCATCACAGAATAGGGGAACCCTGAAATGGAGTAGTACCGTAATATGAAGGGTAGAGCATAGACCGCTCCAGTATGACGAGCGGGGATCATTTCAGAAAATAAGCTTCTGACTACACTGAGGCTCACTTTACCTTTCTTATTCTGCCCTCTCCTAGTAACCCTTTGGTTCTGTTCTGAACACCTTTGACTCCTTCCCCATGCTATTCATAGGCCTTGGAGAAGTTGCATCTTTTGAGTGTTTTGAAGGCACAGTTCCCAATAAAAATGATTTCTGAAATTTCCCTATAGTATGAATTGGACCCTCCCCCTTACACCATGCCTGCCGTTGTGAAGTCGAAAAAGGCCATAGACAGGGCACAATAAGGGGCCAGAGATTGTATCGTGTGAATGCCACACCCATTGTGGACGAGTTTCAACGGCTTTGTAGAAAATGTACCATCTCAAGAGACTCCCATGTAGGAAGTTCGAACAGCTTGACATAATCCATGACGACAGTGAAATGTAGTTTCGGACAATTTCGGCTTGATGTAGTCATCTCTTTGAGCAATGGGAGCAAGGTAAATATCGTTCAGGCACCCCCTACATGCAATTACCGTCACGGTGATCTCGTACAACCTCCACTCCCACTACTCTTAAGAAGCCTTGAAGTAAGCGGATTTTCTCGCTTTTTCGCCACCCCAGTACTACTCTACATCAACACTTCCAGTTTTCTACCTGAAAAGAGTACCTCAAAATCATCTGGAATTGTGCCTTTAAGCGTGGAATTCAAAGGTTATTTTAGTAATTGTAAAGATTAAACCAAGGCTGCTCGATTCAATATACCAAAAGTAGCACCAGGATCAACCCATTTGGAACATGGCATCTGGACAGCAAAGTGAGCACAACGATCCAAAAAACTCAAAACTCGTATCAAAAGAATTCTGTTCCCATGGAAAAGCACAAAGAATGTTTCCGAAAAGTTCTGCACGAAGTGGGATTTGAACCCACGCACCCATACGGGTACCAAAAGCCCAATCCGCTGTCTCGCGGTAAGATAAGGCTTGAGTCTGGCGCCTTAGACCACTTGGCCATCCGTGCGTGAGACACAACCCCATATAGGGATAAATACTTTGAAGCCTCAAAGCCTAAATTGAGCTCTATGACTGGCCAAACAACTGCTACATTGATTTTCTGTGTTTATTTTCTATCAATCTGTGGGGTAGTCAGTTGTCGATCAATTGAATATCTATAAGAGGTGATCATAGTCCTTGTAGGTCTTTGATTTTCAGTGACAAGTGGCTCCTCAGTGTCATCCTCATCAAAATCGTCTTCTTCTGACCATAAACGCAATGCGGAAAGTATGGAAGCAGCCATCTGAAAAGATTGACATTTCCCTAGGGAATCAAGGGATGGGGAAGCTAGCGGAACTGCGCATTTACCGTAATTATGATACTGATGACACTGGCTGCAAGAAATATTATGTCGACATCCCTACACCAACTTGGATAGGTCTGACGAACATGTCTGGGGCACGACAGTGGTGTGTTAGTGAGGTACTGAAATGAAATTTGCACTGAAATCTCGGAGTTGAAGGTCAGCACACTGAGCCGGAAAATTCCGAGTTCGCTTGAGCCACGTATTTGTCATGCAAGGTAAATTGTTTTGGGAAGTCAGAGGCCAGCTGGGATCCAAAATACCGCTATTCTCTTGAACGAGATTGCTTTGGAATATCTCACTGTGGAAATCTGAGGTTTAAAAGGGGTTTGGCCGAGAGCTCGAATATGACAAGTTCTCTGCCCATTACTAATTTTCATTTCTATTCCTTAGACATCAGGGCCAGCCACAAGGTTCAGACGATCTTCATGGCTCCAGAAACAAGGAAAGTTAGTAGTCTCTTGAAAGGCTTACCTACCTACAAAGGGCCTTGACAATAACCTTACTGCCGGAGGGTACCATAAGATGCAAAATGGAAGCAATTAAATAAATGGAAATACTGTTGACAACATAGTTTCTACGAAGTATGTGTGGCGGCCAACCCCCATCTTTTTCGCTTATTTGAGACTGTTTGAACGAATTTTTTTTTTGCCCAATCCTCCTGAGTTATGAGAGTAGGAACGGTCGGAAAACCCTATGGACCTCCGAAAGCTATGACCTCTTCAGTCATTTATTTTTCCAAGGGAACTGTATAAAACTAACACTGAAGGAAGCTGCAGCAAACCATTTGAAAGCAAGAACGAAAGTGTAAAACATGGCCAACGTTGTGAATACAATAACATAACGTCTTCTTGTTAAACATCCACAGAAAGCAAGAAACCAAAATGCACTAGCGAATTCATCTGAATACACAAGTTATGGAGGAATGACTGCACTACTTGACCGAATCCTCTAGAATGCGCCATCCTCTGAACTTTCACTTGTTTCCTCAAAGTCTGAGCTAGGTTGGGAACTTAGCCATAACCGTAGAACCATCGAACCAATGTCATTTCTACAAAAGAGGGCCTATTTCATTGAGTGGAGCTCTCACTCACACGAAGGATGAGTAGGAGGGGAAGGCTGTGACTCACACTACTGATCCTGCCGAGTTCCAATTATCAAACTTGAAAAAAAATTACCCAAGAAATTTGGTTTCTGACCGCGCAGCTTCACCAGCTCTCTAATTTCCGTACAAGATGACTGGTAACGTTGTAGGCTTCTGCCTATCCCCCAAAACCGACTTACCGAACGAACAGTCATTATCTGCCGATAAATGTGGATCCATCGTTTTTGTTATTGTCTTAACAATAGCAAACAAAAATTGAGTTGAACATAATGATGCAGACAGTAAGAAGTCCAATGAATTCACAGTATTTTTCATTGGAGCAGAAATCTGAAACAAAGCACTAATTTTCCACCTTATTGGTTGTATTCATTGATTTTCATTGGCGACCAATTTTGCGTATTGTGCTTCTCTAGGGACTCATTGTGAGGTCGAATCGAAGATCCTACTACATATATGCCGCAGATCTTTGTCTATACCAAATACGAGGCTTACCGGTTAGTAGAGTAACTAGTAGACAAATGAAAGCTACCGCGCTTCTTTCTTACTATCAAGTTCCCTGAAAAATCTATGATTGGCTGCTTTCATACTTCGACGTGCGTGCCGGCACGCACGTCGAAGTATGAAAGCAGCCATTCGGCGTAAAGGCAATCGGGGGCATTCTTCCACAAGGAGCATAAATTCGTTTGTGATTCGTGATTCTTCGTAAGAAAGAGAACGATGTCTGGAGCTTTACGGAGAATCCGATAATCTAACCTTCTCACTAATAGTTTCGGGTAGCGACTCAATGAGGAATCAGTTCTAATCACATTTGCTCCCACATCTGTCGAATTTGAATGCCACTCCGCTTAACAATAGACCTTCAGCATTTGATTGAAATTTGTATTTTTCGTGATCAATTCAAGCGAAGCTATTGAACTTCGGATTGACCTACAGCCTAGTAGTTAAGAAATGCGCAAAATAAAAATGATCTGTAAAACTTGCAAGAAACTTGCAAGCGAGATAGGCTATACTTTTTTTGAAATGTCATTAATTCAATCAAATGGAAACAGGTTTTGCTCAAACATCAGGATCAATGTCATGTTCCATTGCCTGCCATTGAGATCTTTTTAGGCTCTTTTACTTACCCTTTCCCCTACGCACCTCGCATTGTGTGTGTTCTGCATTCTCATGTTTACTTATGCACTATGTCAGCTACATGGCAATAGACATAGTTGAGCTCAAGGGTGTTATGTGGGAGGGTATGTGGGAATTTTCGATACTGCATATTTTCGGGCTCGCTTTCCGATTACTACGCCAAGTGGCGCGCTATCACCCAGAGATTGAATTTCGATCGATACTCGCCCAGATCAACCACCTTCTAATTTTTCGAGGTCGGTGAGTTGACAACAGGCTCGCCCTTAAGGATAATTCCAATGGCTTGCACACTCTGGATACCGTAAGGTATTGCATAGGCCATTTACGCATTCGAATCGTCACAATAATTCTGGAGGGAAGTCGAAGCCACGCCGCATCCCTAGAACGATGATTCATCAACGCCGAAGACATCCTCCTTTGACTTTTTTTGAGCGCTCTATACGTGGTAGCACAATTTGTTTATCACTTTGTTTGTTCGCATCTGATCCAGAAGTGGCTACGGAAAGTTCCAGACTGAAACTGAACCCTGATTGCTTGGACCAATGAATCATTCACGTAAAACACAGCGTTGCACGAAGTGATAAGAATACTATTGCAAAATGCGCTATCGTTTTCTGTCGCCACAGAGGACGACTAAGACAATGAACCTCCATTGCAGTCCTTCCATATTGATTTATCTTTTATTCGTATTCTCGTCTTTTTCCGATTTTTCAAATCGATTTTTCTTGATTGTACTTTCACTTTCATTCCACTGACTCTAATGACTGTTTTGAGCTTCTGTGAGGAAAAGGTTTTTTATGGTGGAACATTTATCGAGCCCATTGTTTCCGAGAGTTCGTCGCTCTGTCCGGCTTTGATTTTACCACTTATCATTTCTCTCTACTATGTCTTATCATCCATTACTATGATTTCAGGATGAAGATTTGAGTTGTTACCGAATTTTGATTCGTTTTAGGCTTCTTTATGTTATGCATCATAATCTCCCTACTTCCATTCGCTTTGGCCGGCAATTTCCTCCTTGTCACCATGGATCAGGGCCGATCACATACGCGCTCGTTTCAACCGTTTATGCATCGCCTTCAAGAGGATAATCATACAGTATCACTGTATTTCAATACTTTCAAGCCTGAAATCGACTTTCATATGAAAAATGAGCTGATCGACCTGTCCAAATGTAAGTACTCCAGCTCTGGCCGGCTCTCTCTAATGCATGTCTGGGAACTAGAAGTCGTAACATTCAGAGGTCGACTGGGACATCATTATCGCCTTTTTGGGGAACGTAAAAAGACAGTAATAATAAGGTATGTGTGTGGGTGGCGTCTACACTTGGCTTTCTGGTGCATTTGAATCGCCACTAGCATTCTGAAGGGAGTCGAATGCGGAGTGTATTCTGTAGACGGGATCGATTGATGGATGTCTGAAACTTCATCTTTAGTCTTTTTATTGACAACGATTGATATCAAAATGGATTTTGTCACCATGAAAATTTGTGATAAATTAAGTAAAATAAGATTTTGCAGTCCTAACTAACCCCTTCGATGATGATGCCTTCGGTAAACTTGTGTGGAACCAAGAATTCTCGATTTTTACACAGGTTAGAGCACCCTTCAGACATTCGAAATTAGTTGGCTGATCTGTAGCACAGCGCATCATCCAGGCCAACCCAACCTCACTTACCGCGAGCCCATGTTTTCATAGAAGAGATCACAGACGGTATGGGAACAACATTTCATAGAAGAGATCACAGACGGTATGGGAACAACAGTTGACGTAACTTGTAATGACTCCTAATAATAAAAACTGAGAGCAAAACATGAATGTCACGTAGGGCCATTTTCCAGTAATTCCTTTTTTCCTTGTTGAGTTGCAGAGAGCAGGACAATTTCTCGATGACGAGGGGAAGGAGAAATTTCTAGCAAATTTCGATATCATGCCTTTTGCATACTAGTCTTTTTGACGTTGGATGAGATTATAGCGGTGAAAGAGGTGTTCGGACGAGGTCAAACTCGCTACAAAGCAACAGGTGTCAGCTTTAAGTGTGTACCGGCTAACTACAACTTACAGCAAACACGCTCCATTTTGAGTGATATCAGCTTCTGCGAGACCGTTAAGCAGTCCTTTCTCGGGAGTATTGAGCGGTAGTGAGCCCTGCGACCGATTTTGAGCCCCTATTGCGCCCCCACCCAAACTGCTTTTCGACCGGGCAATGCCCCATGTCTTCATAGCCACAGATTTAAATGGAACGTTTGTGGATAACAAACGATCAATTGCTCAGGTCAAATATACTGATTGCAGTAATTACTTCAGATTTTGCCTTTCTACCGACATTCGATATCCTGCAGTGTTGTTTTAGAGAAATGTCGACCTCAATATGATCGTCTTGCTCGAGGTGCGACGTTTTCAGACTGATTTTTTATTCAGAGGTCGCCAATACAATTGAGATGATTTTTGGTGATCTTTAAAGGATTTTTCGTCCAGATGTATTTAGTATCCGAAACATGTGGCTCACCAGACTCACTTTTTGAAAGAATTGCTTTTTCGGAACATTTAAAGGATACATTCACTAAGTAAAGGTTTCCTGTTAACCATACTGAGAATTAAGCTCGATCTGGCATGTATACAAGCCAGGCTCCCTTTCTTGGCCCATATAGGCGTAAAAGTAGCGGCATGGTCTAGCTTTGATGGGTATAAGGCTCGAAGAAGGTACGAATGAGGCCAGGCAGCCTGTTTTGATGAAATAGCGCAGACAGTTTGTCACTTCACAAACTGCACCCACTCCTCACAGATCAAGCTCCTACGTGAACAGAACAAAAGAAAACGGCTTACCCGAGGTCGATGATATTCAAATTCATGCATATGTGGATGCTGAATGTGTGTGCCCAGTTGATCACTGACTGATTCAGAAGGTGCTCCAGTCAGTTCCGAAGAGATATCTCAAGAGCCCCTGAATAACACGAAACGTCTAACGAAACGCCGCTCAACCCTTTTCATTCAGAAAATTGGGACCTGATTTTCGCCGACTCGCTTTTTAGCGTTTGCGGTTATGGTGTCGTTCAAATGAGCAAGAGACATCATATAATGGTTCATTCAAGTGACGTTGAAGGGCCACACGGAACCTCGAAAGGGTTTCACAAGTTGGTTAACCATCCTGTTATTAAAAAATTCAAGGCAAATGTTGTATTCTGCTTTCTATACCCATTTATCTTCTTCATTAACCATTTTATATATAATTTATTTGTTCATGCTTCATTGTTGTCACGTCAATTTCACACTATACGAATAAAGCACAAATTGAAGTCTGGAACTTAATGACGCTTTCAGAAACTACGCCATACTACCGCCTAATTTCATGTCTTTATCTCAATCCAGTTTTGATGTAAGTCCCCATTTT